CCTTAGATGATTGTCTAGGTGGTGGCTCAACATTATCTTTAGCTTTATTTTTATCAAAACCTATTCCTTCCTTAGAAAAATGCATAGTGTCAAGAAGTAAATTTAAGTCTTTATGAGGAGTATTAAATTTCTTGACCGTGCTCTCAAGTTTAGCGACTTGCTCTTTTAAAGCTTTGCAAGACCCACATTCACTTGATGAGCTTTCTGGTTTGTCAGCGCTTCTTTTTCCGAAAAACTTGTTTTCTTGTTTAAGTGTTTCATTTTCTTTTTCCAATCTTTCAAAATCGTTTTCAAGTAAAGAAAGTCGTTTCTTCAAAGATTTATTTGTTTTAGAAGCGCTAACAAATTCCTCATAGAGTTCATGAAGTGCTTCTTGCATTTCTTCAAAAGTATAAGAGTCGGAAGAAATGTTACATACCTCTTGGACGTCGTTGCTTTGATCTTCGTGTGCCATGAGGCAGAGATTTGCAGCTTCGTCCTCCTCTTGGTCGGTTGATTCGTCGCCAGAATCGCCACCCCAAGAGATGTAGGCCCTTTGCTTCTTGAAGCCAGACTTGTCCTTGCCGTGTTTGGTATTTGGACACCTTGGCTTGATGTGGCCAATCTCGCCACAGCCGTAGCACTTAGGAGGACCGTCGTGCTTCCTTCCCTTCCGCTCAAATTCCTTCTTCATGAACTTGTGAAACTTCTTGATGACGAGCCCGAATTCATTGTCGTCATCGCTTGAAGCCTCTTCCACCGGCTCCTTGGTGGCTTTGAGAGCTATCCCCTTTTTATTTTGTTCATCCAAAGACGGGGTTAGAATAGTAGATTCATAGGTTTTAAGATTACCTCTTAGCCCGTCGATGGTGACATTGGAGACTCCGATGGATTCGTAGATTGCATCGGCTTTTGACCTCCATTCGGGTGTGAGACTCCGCAGGATTTTCCTCACAAGATCCTTGTTGGTGTAGGTCTTTTTGAGGGCATGAAGATCGTTGATTATCTTTGAGAACCGGTCGAACATGTTATCAATTTTCTCACCTTCTTTCATCCGGAACATTTCATACTCTTGGGTGAGAAAGTCGATCTTGGCTTCGCGAACTTGATCGGTACCTTCGTACGTCACTTCAAGCTTGTCCCACATCTCCTTGGCGGTTGAGCAACAGGAGATCTTTCGGTAGTCATCGGGGTTGACCGCGCAATATAGCATATTGATGGCCTTTGCATAGTTTTCAATCTTCTTGATGTCCTCGGCATCAAATTCGTCTTCGGTCTTTGGGACCGTGGTTTCTCCCACTTTCTTCATAGGGATTTCTTCGCCATTTTTTATCACCAACCACAATTGGAAGTTGGTGGAACGAATATAGATTCTCATCCGTTCCTTCCAATAAGAGTAGTTGGTACCATCAAAGAGTGGTGGCCTAGAGGTTGATTGTCCTTCTCCAATTCCTGCATAGAGATTTCTAGAAGAAGAGCCCATGATCTCTTTACTCTCAAACGGTTAAGTTTGGACGCGAGTTAGGCTCTGATACCAATTGTTAGAATAATAGACCAACGCTAGAGGGGGGGTGAATAGCGTTTGATCAAGAAATCGCACGAATAAAAATGAATAAGCGAGAAGTAAAGAGAAAAGAAAGAGGCACACCGATTTTACCCTGGTTCACCACAACTTGTGGCTAATCCAGCCTCCCGAGAGACTCTCTCGAGCTACACTACTATCTCGTTAAGCTTAACGGTGCTTAACAAACCCGTACAACTTGAGAATTCGAGTCACACGAACCTCAACGAACCTTCGAAGGAAACAACCCTTCCTTCGAACAACAAGAGAAATACCTTCTCTTGTCAAGTGTCTAAGAACACTAAAAACACTCAAGAACAATACTCTCTTTTTAGAGTGGATATTGAGTAAACTAAGAACGCTCAAGAACACGACACAAGCTTCACAAAAATGGCTCTCAAAAGCTATGAATAATTAAAGAATGATTTGCAATGAAAGAGTAGGAGTTGTGAAGTAATGTTATGTTTAAACCAGACCCAAACACTCCATTTTATAGTAGAAAAATAGGCTCCAACGGACCAAAGTATTTAAGGGGTGATTGGCATAATTTGTGGGATTTGATGAAATTTGGATCAGTTGAAAATCACCCAGACAGCGCTGTCCTAGGCCTGGACATCGCTGTTCTAGGCTTGCGGTTTGAAAAATGGGAAGCAACGGTCATGCCAACAGCGATGTCTAAAGTCCCTACATCGCTGTTTTGGCTGTTGACTTCCAAACAAGGAAAGTTTTAGCCTTAAATTCCTTCCAACGGTCAGGTCTCTACATCGATGTTCTATACTAGAACATCGCATTTTAGGTCTGCCTTTGGAGATGGAATTTTGGCCTGACAGCGCTGTTGCTGGGTCAACATCGCTGTCCAAAAACTTTCTGCCAATGCACTATATTTTTGGCTTAGGTTGGACAGCGCTGTAGGGGAGCCTACATCGCTGTTCCAAAAGTTTCTGGAAATCCAACCTTGGCTCAACAGCGATGTCTAACATCCAACATCGCTGTTGGAAGACTTAGCGCCAAACCATGCTTTTCAGCCACCCAATCCAGACAGCGCTGTTGGTTTTACCAACATCGCTGTTGGGCTGGTTTAGCCAGACCCATGGATGGTTTAGTCAGCCGTTAGCCGATGTCAAAAATGTAAGTTCTCCAAAATAAAAACCAAGTATTGAAAATGTTTGTTTAATGCATTTTTCTAAGAAATCAAGTAAAACATTTTGAAAACTACGTCATTTAGTTGAAAACCACGGCTAGCCAAGTTTACGCCGTTTCGCATGGTTTTCACTAAACGACTAAAAACGAAAGGTGGTTTTTGAAGCGTTTTTGTTGGATAACTATTTAAATGTGCCCAAAAGTAAAAACCAGTCATAAAAGGTTGAAAACCACTTGGTTGGTTCGGACGCCAAAAAGCAATGCCGAAAACCGAAAGCCGAACGCCGGTTTCTGAAAGCCGAACGCCGGATGGCTTGGTTTTTGGCTTGGGCGAACTCCAAGTGTTTTGACCCAAGTTTAAAACTTAAGAAAAATATTTTTGAAAATGTAAAAGAGATTTTTATGAATTGAGCCTAGAGAGCCAAGATTTGGAATTTTGTGCCGGTCTTGATCACATTAAGACCGACTCAATACAATTCTAGTTCTTCGTTCTTGATTCTGGGTTCTTGGTTCTCAAGTCATCATGCCATGTTCCTTCGCCTTAGTTTTGCTCACTTTAGCTTCGATATGTCGCGGCGGTTTGGCATTATCAAAACCTGTCATAAAGACGAACACAGTTTAGTACGACGGAGGCGTAAACCCGTGTTCCAACAATTTTTCCCTTTTTGATAATGGCAAACAAGACGGTGATATGCATACTAAGGGATATTTTTTTTTCAAATTTTGTGAAAAAAAAGTTCCCCCTTAATTTGTGCTTAAAAAAATTGGTTGGAT